TTAATTATTCCTTAATTTATCATAATTAAATAATTTGACCAATTATAAAGAGAGATTATTAAATAAAGCACGAGACAATTTTTTAATTACAAAATTTAAAAATTCATTAATGAAAAATAAGGTTCTCATAGTTTTTTCTAAGAAACTATTTAATAAAGCATTTTTTTTTTAGAAATCAATATATTTTATTGAGAAGAGAGATTTTGTAGGAATTGGGCGGGAAGTTAAAATTTCAGGATTTTGTTTTTATATGTAGTATAGATTAGATGTGCAGAGGGAATTGTATTACACTATTTTATAATTTTAGAATAGAATTTTTACCCAGAATTATTGTACGAATGGGAAAGTAGAAAACAATATATTTTATTGGGAAGAGAGATTTTTTAGGAATTGGGCGGAAAGTTAAAATTTCAGGATTTTGTTTTTATATATAATATAGATTAGATGGGCAGAGGGAATTGTATTAGACTATTTTATAATTTTAGAATAGAATTTTTACCCATAATTACTGTACGAATGGGAAAGTAGAAAAAACTATATATTTTATTGGGAAGAGAGATTTTTTAGGAATTGGGCGGAAAGTTAAAATTTCAGGATTTTGTTTTTATATATAGTATAGATTAGATGTGCAGAGGGAATTGTATTACACTATTTTATAATTTTAGAATAGAATTTTTACCCAGAATTATTGTACGAATGGGAAAGTAGAAATCAATATATTTTATTGGGAAGGGAGATTTTGTAGGAATTGGGCGGGAAGTTAAAATTTCAGAATTTTGTTTTTATATATGGTATAGATTAGATGTGTAGAGGGAATTGTATTACACTATTTTATAATTTTAGAATAGAATTTTTACCTAGAACTAGTATTTTCACCCGTACGATGTACGGAATGGAATTGTTGTAATATATTAAGAATATTTAAATCGATATATAATTATTTAAGAGTTAATTTCACCAGAGGTCGCTTATTTTTTCTGATAATTCAAAATTTAATCCTAGACTATAGTTATTAATTATTACGATTTATTCTATATTATAATTCTTACGTTAATATTCTTACTATTATTATTAACACTTAATTACTTTTAGATATTATTTTTATCACTTATATTATTATTATTATTATTATTATTATTATTATTATTATTATTATTAGTTTTGTTTCAAGTTTTGTTAGTATATAATGGTCGTGAGGCACACAATAATAATATAACCATAATTAAATATTCTTGTATTGTAATCCGTGAGTCACAATAATAAGGTAATAATAATTAAGCCCGCATGGGTAGCTCAACTGGTCATAGAAGTGAAACTTTGGAAGAATGACCAGGGATCGAGTCTCATCAGCGGTAGTGTGGGAGCAACCTCTCAAAGTGAAGGGGGTTTCTTGTGCGCAGTGAGCACCGGTCTAGCCTCTGTGGTTCATGCTCTGTAGGGTTGGGGTTCTTCCTTTTGGAAGAATATAACAATAATTAAATATTCTTCTAGGATTTCTATTACCATCATTAATTATTCCCTAATTTACCATAATTAAATAATTTGACCAATTATAAAGAGAGATTATTAAAAAATGCACGGGACAATTTTTTAATTAAAAAATTTAAAAATTCATTAATAAAACATAAGGTTCACATAGTTTATTATTAAAAACTATTTAATAAAGAATTTTCTTTAGAAATTGGTGGGCCAAACCGCCTACGGCAGTTTGCGGTGGATAGATCTCGAAAAAATACGCAATTTCAAAAAAATATTTGTCCAAAATGGACAACCGAGTCAAAAGTTATACCTTGCCGAACTTTTGCCACTTCACATCTTTTACCCAGAATTATTGTACGAATGGGAAAGATCAATATATTTTATTGGGAAGAGAGATTTTCTAGGAATTGGGCGAGAAGTAAAAATTTCAGGATTTTGTTTTTATATATAGTATAGATTATATGTGCAAAGTGAATTGTATTACACTATTTTATAATTTCAGAATAGAATTTTTACCCATAATTATTATACGAATGGGAAAGATTAATATATTTTATTGGGAGGAGAGATTTTTTAGGAATTGGACGGGAAGTTAAAATTTCATGATTTTGTTTTTATATATAGTATAGATTAGATGTGCAAAGGGAATTGTATTACACTATTTTATAATTTTAGAATAGAATTTTTACCCAGAATTATTGTACGAATGGGAAAGTAGAAGTTAATATATTTTATTGGGAAGATAGATTTTTTAGGAATTGGGCGGGAAGTTAAAATTTCATGATTTTGTTTTTATATATAGTATAGATTATATATGCAAAGTGAATTGTATTACACTATTTTATAATTTCATAATAGAATTTTTACCCATAATTATTGTACGAATGGGAAAGTAGAAGTTAATATATTTTATTGGGAAGATAGATTTTTTAGGAATTAGGGGGGAAGTTAAAATTTCATGATTTTGTTTTTATATATAGTATAGATTACTGTACGAATGGGAAAGTAGAAATCAATATATTTTAATGGGAAGAGAAATTTTGTAGGAATTGGGCGGGAAATTAAAATTTCAAGATTTTGTTTTTATATATAGTATAGATTAGATGTGCAGAGGGATTTGTATTACACTATTTTATAATTTTAGAATAGAACTTTTACCCAGAATTATTGTACGATATATTTTATTGGGAAGAGAGATTTTGTAGGAATTGGGCGGGAAGTTAAAATTTCAGGATTTTATTTTTATATATAGTATAGATTAGATATGCAGAGGGAATTGTATTACACTATTTTATAATTTTAGAATAGAATTTTTACCCCAAATTATTGTACGAATGGGAAAGTAGAAGTCAATATATTTTATTGGGAAGAGAGATTTTGTAGGAATTGGGCGGAATGTTAAAATTTCAGGATTTTGTTTTTATATATAGAATAGATTAGATGTGCACAGTGAATTGAATTACACTATTTTATAATTTTAGAATAGAATTTTTACCCAGAATTATTGTACGAATGGGAAAGTAGAAATTAATATATTTTATTGGGAAGAGAGATTTTATAGGAATTGGGCGGGAAGTTAAAATTTCAGGATTTTGTTTTTATATATAGTATAGATTAGATGTGCAGAGCGAATTGTATTACACTATTTTATAATTTTAGAATATAATTTTTACCCAAAATTATTGTACGAATGGGAAAGTAGAAAACAATATATTGTATTGGGAAGAGAGATTTTTTAGGAATTGGGCGGGAAGTTAAATTGGGAAAGTAGAAAACAATATGTTGTATTGGGAAGAGAGATTTTTTAGGAATTGGGCGGGAAGTTAAAATTTCAAGATTTTGTTTTTATATACAGTATAGATTAAGAATTAAGAAACATTGTCTGCATGAGCTTAACTCAATAGTTCAGTGGATAATATTTAGGAGAAAAATTTAAAATTTGAATTTCGATAGCAACAATATGGGAATTCAACCTTTTGAAAGAAGAACTAAAAAACATTAAAAAGAATTGTAACAGGATCAATATTACTATAAAAAAACATTAAACAATAATGTTTTATCAAGTAACTTGTGTGGGTACGAAATAACTTAAAATCGCATAAAATGACATAATAAATGAGTATTTTGTAGTAGGTAGGGATTTAACTGTTTTTGTTTATGAATGTATAAACAACTGTTATTTGCCACCTGATCTTAATAATACCAATGTGGTGTTAATTCCAAAGAAGAAAATCCCTGAGACAGTCTTGGACTTAGGGCCTATAGCGCTTTGTAACGTGATGTACAAAGTTATTGCTATGGTAGTGGCCAATCGTATGAAGGAGGTTCTTGATTGTATTGTATCCTCGTCTCAGAGTGCCTTCGTACCAGACATGTTAATCACGGATAACATAATTGTGGCTGGGGAGGTCGGGCATTTCTTGCGTAGGAAACGACAGGGTATAGAGGGTTGGACAGCCCTTAAGTTGGACATGGTAAAAGCCTATGACCGTATGGAGTGGGGTTTCTTAGATGGTATGATGTTAGCATTGAGGTTCGCCCGTGGGTGGGTTGACCTCGTGTTGCTATGTGTAACCTCCGTACGGTATAATATATTGTTGAATGGTGAGACTACAGGTACTGTTGTCCCTACAAGGGGTATCAAGCAGGGTGATCCATTGTCCCCTTACCTCTTCATTGTTTGCGCTGAAGGTTTGTCCCTTTTGTTACAGCAGGTAGAGGCACGCGGGGACATACATGGTGTGCGAGTTGCCCGGGGTGCCCCTTATGTATCCCACCTCTTCTTTACAGATGACAACTTGATGTTTTTCAAGGCGAACGAGGTAAAGAAATGTTTATAGTCATATTGTGCAGCTTCAGGTCATCTGATAAATTTTAATAAATCGAGTATTATGTTCAGTGCGAATGCTAGGCCATTGGTATCTCGGACAACTGGTTTAGCTTCTGTCCTTGGTGTGTGGAAAACTATCCCACCTTTGTGTATCTCAGGTTTGATTTAATATATTAAGCCATTGATTTTTTTTTTTTAAAAATGAATCTTCACCCCCAAAAAAAAACAAAAAAAAAAAACAAAAAGCGATAACTAAAATGAATAAAACGGTGTAATGCATAAGCTACTCGCACTTTATTTTATGTCATCTTATAGCTGTAGTAGTACACAATAGTGCACACAGATAAAATACGAAATTCACACATTTATATATGTACAAGAATCTATTATATAGTGCACACAGATAAAATACGAAGTGCACACGTATGGAATTACAAATATACAATCTTACCAAAAGTACAATCACACAAAAAATATACCTCTCATAAAATTACGCATAACATCCACAAATAATAATATTAGAATTCTAAATGCGTACAAAAATAATATTTCACTCGTCCGTAAATATATATGTAAATAAACATAAACATAAACAATCCAAATAGTTTTTTTTTTTTTTTTGCTAAAATGCACTCGCTACTATTCTTATTCTGATTTTCATTCGAAAGAACGTTAAAATCTACTACTCAGTACATTTCAACTTTCAAGGAATAAAACCTCGCAGGTGCAAGATAGCAGTATCGACTATCGTCCCCTCAGCAGTCAGCATACACCTGCTGTTACCAAATTATCGCAGGAGGGCAATCGCTTGGCATTGAGGAACGATGCAGGCCGTAACGAGGCGATTAGGGCACCAATATCTCAAACCTTCACATTCAGTTTCAGCTTTCAAGTCTTTCGATCTCCTCTCCGATCACTGTACCCGCTCTCTCTCTCTCTCTCTCTCTCCGTTTTTTAGGGCTAAACAGATACATATAAATTTGCAGTACTGTTTATACATGCGTTTTTTTTTTTAAAAAAAAAAAAAAAATTATAATTATTGGTTTTCATTGTTTGATATGCGAGTTTTTGATTCCAGATGGAATTGATACCCCGCGATATGCATCTACGCTCACAGCCTCTAAAGGTGTTGGGCATCTGGTTCGGAAGGGAACTGGCGGTAGATCGTCTGTTAGGTGATGCGTTATCTCGAACCTCATTTATGCTTATCGTAATTTATATAATTTCGTTTTTGATGTTCTGTTACGGTTTGATACTTTGATCCAATTTTCTATTAACTCGGCTCTGTTTACTTTAATGTACTACTCCATACGTTTCTAAATTCTAGAATCTGTACTTCATTATTATTATTATTCTTGTTTTTTTTTTTTTTTTTCCCACTTGTAGTAATTGTTTTTATGTTTATCTTAGTTATCTTAGTTATGTTAACAAGAGTTAATTCCGTCTTGATTATTTACATTTACCAATTTTTATCCCGACTTTCAACTTTCAATTGGAACATAAATGGTACCTTCAACAATTTTCATCATCGACTTCCAATATGATTATAAATGGTCCCTTGACTATTTATTTTGTTTCAAAATTGGTCCTCCTGTTAAGTACCCATTAAGTAAACATGGTAGTAATGTAAAAATTAGCTAGTAGAATTGCCTCTCCAAATTTGCATATTTAAAGGTGATGAAACAAATAATATAATCGTCTCAAATTTGTTGTAGAGCGTTATCAATAGTCTTGTTCAAATTGGCTTATGCATCAACCTATTCTTCAAATTCCCACTAATGATGAACCCAATTTGCCCCATCTCAACAAGTCAATTTTTACATTCTTACCCTTAAATTTAACGCTTACTAAACGAATATTTAACCGAAGAACCAAATATGGAACAAAATCAATAGTCAAGGGACCATTTATGGTCAAATTGAAAGTCGATGATGAAAATTGGTAAAAGTCAATAGTCAAGGGACCATTTATGGTCCAATTGAAAGTCGGGAATAAAAATTGGTAAATGCCAATAGTCAAGGGACCATTTTTGGAATTAACTATGTTAACAATTATTGAAACTGATACAATCACCTCAAAATACCATTACTCCGATGTGCTAATGGAGGTCAATGTCCTGTCTCTGGCAGTGGAATTGTTGCTACCGTTTTTGGTGCTACTGGGTTTCTTGGGCGGTATCTTGTGCAGCAGCTTGGTATGCTTCCTATTGATTTTTGTATCATTGTATGAATGTGCCATCTCTAAATTGATGGATAAGATTTCAATGCTTAAGGTAAATGCTAAATATTTATTGAACTTTTTGTCCCAGCTAAAATGGGTTCTCAAGTTTTGGTACCTTTCCGAGGATCTGAGGACTGTCATCGTCATCTCAAGTTAATGGGCGATTTGGGTCAGGTAGATTGGCTTGAATTCTACAATTTGATACCTTATGTGTTCTAGTGGATAGACTTATTGTACCTCCCCATTTAATTGATTATCTTGATTTCTATGTTAGAATTATTATACCTCGCCATTCAATGGACTATTGTTATCTGTATGTTATCTTATGCAGATTGTTCCAATGAAGTACAACCCTAGAGATGAGAGTTCAGTTAAAGCAGTGGTGGCAAAGGCTAATGTTGTAATCAATCTTATTGGTATGTCTTATATGATTGACTGTTGACAGTATATGAGTCTATGCATGATATAACTGCTTTTCTCATTAAAGAGATTGTTAACAGGGAGGGAATATGAGACAAGGAATTATAGCTTTGAGGAAGTGAACCACTATATGGCTGAACAGCTTGCAGCAGTAGGCTCCTGCACTGATTTTGGTTTTTTCTTAACTCTGTTAATTCAATTCATTTCCTCAGTAATACTTTGTACCCAGCATTGAAAATATTCAAATTGAGATTTATAATGCTTGAGGAGTATAGTTGTGCGAAACAGCATTTCATCCTGATCATTAAATTAATTGGCCTTTGGGTAATGAAAAAGTGTGCTTATACAATCAAGTTTTCTATACAGAAGGTCACATGTGACGGTGGATTCACTTACCTCTTATAGTTCTTCTTATAAGTGATAATAATTTGACTACACATTTTACCATTCTCCTGTTAAGTTGCTCATTCTTCTTCTTTTGTATGATAAGCAACTTACTTTTCAGTTCCTTTGTCATTTTTTATCTTCACTGAGTAGTGAGTTGTTCTACCCTTGTTTTTGCAGATTTCAAAAGAACACGGTGGAATCATGCGATTTATACAGGTTTCGTGTTTGGGGGCATCTCCAACATCTCCCTCCAGAATGCGCAGAGCAAAAGCTACAGCTGAAGAGGCTGTTTTAAGAGAAATTCCAGAGGTAAAAAAAACACATTCATGTGTAGATTCTCCTACTCATGATAATGCTGCACTTTAGCTATCTTTAAATTTGTCCCTTGTTTGCAGCTTCAATTCTTATTGAGAAAATTGTATGGAAGGATGTTATTCTCCATTGCAAGACTAACATTGATACATTAATAATGTGAACTGCAGTTTGCCCATTATTGATCATAAAAGTGTTTCCATATTCCTGAAACAAAGTTATTGACTTGCAAATCCTCAGGCAACAATATTGAAACCTGCTGTGATGATTGGTACTGAGGATAGAATTTTGAACCCATGGGCACAATTTGCAAAAAATTATGGCTTCCTGCCACTTATTGGAGGTGGTACTACAAAGTACGTATCTGACAGTATTTTTTTTTTTTATTGCTTTGGCCCACAATCATTCTGATCCTTTAATAGTCATGGTGCTAAAACTGCATTTTGGCAGGATTCAACCAGTATATGTTACTGATGTTGCCTCTGCAATTATTGCTTCATTGAAAGACGACGGTACCAGCATGGGAAAAGTTTATGAACTTGGTGGACCAGAGATTTTCACAGTGCACCAATTGGTCAATTCCCAATTGCTCTTCTAAAAAAATTTAAATTTCAATATATTTTCATCTCCTTTTATTTTGCTCATTAATATGTAAGGCACCAGTTTTAGGAAACTAATGTTACTGTAGGCTGAGCTTATGTACGACGTGATCCGTGAATGGCCTCGCTATGTGAAGGTTCCTTTCCCAATTGCTAAGGTGAGTATAGTTGCTAAAATGTACCCTATTTAAGCTATGCAAAGTTGCATCATATTTTGGTGGCCTTAATCAGTTCATAAAACGTGTCTTGTGACTTTTATGCCTTTATATGTTAGGCTGTTAGCAACCTATGACAAGTCCTTTTGGTAAAAGCTGTAACTTTGTGATGGAAGATAGTATTTGCAGCTACGGATATCTGTTATGATATATAAGGCCATTGAGCTTGCTTATAAAACTTACAATGAAAGTTGTTCATCTGTCAATGCAGCTGAAGTTGAATAGTTATACTCATTGACACATGGTTAAATGTTTCCTTTTGTTGGTTCAGGCAATCGCAACACCTCGAGAGCTACTGCTCAAGAAAGTTCCGTTTCCACTGCCAACTCCATCAATATTTAATTTGGATGTGATTGAGGCCCTTACCACTGATACACTTGTGTCAGAAAATGGTATGTCATCATATCCATGTTATTTCATACATAAATTTGTATCCTGTAACGTTATGATGTTCAAATCTACAACTTCCATCTCATGCATTTTAACTATAATTGTTTCACAGCTTTAACATTTGAAGATCTTGGAATTGTCCCACACAAACTGAAGGGATATCCAGTTGAGTATCTTATCCAATACCGTAAAGGTGGACCACAATATGGCTCTACAGTTAGTGAAAAAATATCTCCCGATTCTTATCCATGAGGTTGTTTGGATATTCAGTTTGAACACAATTGTCACTGTGAGAACAGGTATTTGTTGCCATGATTGGTTCAGCATATGATATAAATTCTTTTCCAGAACAACATTTTGAATCAGTTGACTAACTGTTTAAGAGCCTTATTTTCCCCTGAAACAAACCAGGGAATAATAAAGAGTAGTTTTCTTTTTCAGCAATCCTTATGACTGTATATTGTTGAGAAAATTTCTGTTATTCTGGAAAAGACAGGTGGTTTTATTGGTTGGTTTTCAAACCAAAATTAAGGACACATTCAGAGGATCAGATATGTTATGTTCCCCATCTCTTTTATTTCTTCGGCTGCCTATTCTTTGATTTACAGAAAAATCTGCAGTTGCTACAGTACGCACTGGGTGAAGCTTGCCTTACCCATGAATTATTTCAAAAGAGAAGCCGATATATAATAATATTTGCTATTTTCTGAAAAAAAAAATCCAATTAATATGGAAGTGTTCTATTGAAGGATTTATTTTATAAATTTTTTGATATGAAGTAAATGCTAAAGTTTGTACTCAACGAACATAGGGTAAGTCGATTGTGTATGCACACATTTCTATAGTACCATAATCAAATGTTAGTATTGAATATGGCAATATTGTTATTGTTATTGTGAAAGAAACAGTTTTTCATGATAGAGAGAAGTCTTGAAAATAAAACTTAGGGCACATTAGGACCAACTACGTACACGCCTGTTAAAAAAGGTAGAATTATTTTCGATTTCAATTATGAATTGTCCCTCTAAATCTTTTACATCAACATTCAATTTGCCATGTGTTACATGCGACACGTGTGCAACAAAGCATGCAGTTCCAACTTTATCATTATTTTTTTTTGGATAAAAGGTCAAATAGACTCTTGAATTTTAGCTTAAAAGTCAATTAGGTCTCTAAACTTTTTAAAGGTGCAATTACACCCATCAACAATTAATTTAGGTGCAATGAAGCCCAAAAACAAGTTAATGACCTGCTATCACAGGTCATTAGGGTTCAGGTCACCTTCCGGCGAATTTTCCGACAAAAAAAAAAAAAGTGACCAGCAATCGACCTAGATTTGCTGAAAATTTCGCCGGTCACTTCTTTTGTCGAAAATTTTGTCGGTCACTTTTTTTTTTTTTTTTTTTTTTTTTTTGCAGAAAAATTCACCGGAAAGTGGTCTGAACACTAATGACCTGTGATAGCAGGTCATTAATTTGTTTTTGGGCTTCATTGCACTTAAATGAATTGTTGATGGGTGTAATTGCATCTTTAAAAAGTTTAGGGGCCTAATTGACTTTTAAGCTAAAGTTCGAGAGCTTATTTGACCCTTTTCTATTTTTTTTTTTTTTTTTTTTAAAAGTTTTGACAAAATGCAAATATAAATATATATTTGCTTGGAAAATACTAAATAGGCACTATCTTATTTGTGGTAGAATGTCGCATCACAAACTTATATACAATAACTATCTAAACATACACTTGCTCTACGCATTTATCGCATCAAGGAGTGCAGAAGTGTGTATCATGGTCTAAATATCTCTGTGTTACCTCATCTCTATCATAATGCTCTAAGTACAATTGACGAGACTTCATCTCTATCGTAATGCTCTAAGTACAATTAACGAGACTTTCATGATTAATTGATATAGAAACCCTCAAAATTAGAAGAGATACCGTTAAAAGCGGGGGCCACCCTTTTAACCCAATCCGAAGTTTTTATTAGAAATCAGTGTAAATAATAAGAATAAGGTTCAAATTGGCCATTGAACGTAACCTGAAAATGCAATTAGGTCATTGTACGAAAAAAAGATGTAATTAGACCACTGAACATTCAAAAACGTGCAATTAGGCTACTGAACATTCCAAATGTATGCAATTTCACCGGATAGTAGGTTACTATCAATTTTAGCAGGTTACCTGCTTACGTGGCGGCTGAGTTGGCATTTTTAATAATTTTTAAATAATTTGTAATAACTTTTAATAATAAATTTTTTAAAAAATTAAATTTGTTTTAAATAATTTTTTTAAAAATATTTATTATTAAACTTTATTAAAAATTATTAAAAATGTCAACTCAGCTGCCACGTAAGTAGGTAACCTGCTAAAATTGATGGTAACCTGCTATCTGGTGAAATTGCATACATTTGGAGTGTTCAGTGGCCTAATTGCACTTTTTTTTCGTTCAGTGACCTAATTGCATTTTCAGGTTACGTTCAGTGGTCAATTTGAACCTTATTCCTAAATAATAATACTTGTTACATTATCTCTTTCTTAGTATCAGGCTGGAAACTAACAGGCCAGGCAAGCCATAAATGTGTTGGTTTAAGATTCTATCTTGCTCCAAGGGTCACTCCACTTGCTCAAAACTCATTGTTCGTTCACCAAACAATAAAGCCAAAAATGTCTCACTCAGGTTTCAAATTCTATCTTGCTCCAAGGGTCACGTACTATACGCCAAGGTTTCTATCTTGCCTAGAAAGCCTACACATCACAACTCAATATCTTCTCATCCAACTTTGATTTACATAAAAATTCATAAAAATTCACAATCACTATTTAAAAGTGCATTTTAGATGAAGCTTGCCTTGTGATCTTAGCTAGCAAATGACCACAATAAGATAAATTATCATAGATTGTCATAACCGATGTACTCATACTAAGAAGATTAATAAACAGTACAGTACAACTTGTACAAGAAGTACCAAGGATCTTGTGGTCCAATGGTATCCGGTTGCTCCCCTCCCTAAATGGGAAGTGATAGGTTTGAGCCTCAATGGAGGTGATTAGTAGTTTGGGTGTCCCCTTCCCTTGTAATAATAATAATAATAATAATAATAATAATAATAATAAAAATTTGTACAAGAAGTCGAACTTGATGTCTCATATCTAACTAAGCTCATATAACTAGTGTTCTTTTAATAAATATTGTGCGAATATTTATCAATATTCTATTGTAAGGTAGTCCATGTATAATAGATTCTAATATAGTAATAACTCATATTGTGATAGGTGATTAAGATAATAACGATATTAATAAGTAAATGTTATAATATAATATTCTGCCAAACACCTTGTGCTCAGATGACATGTAGTGACATCTCTAATGTACACTGGAAACTCTTTGTGCTTCATTAGGTTTGAAAAAGTATATTTGGACATTATTTTATTTAAAAAGAGTTAATAATTTAATTTAAATAATTAATATTGATTTTAATGTGAAGTATCTTGCATCATTTATATACGCAAAGCACTTTAGTGTATGATATATATAATAGTATCCGATACGATTAGTATTGATGTGTACATTATAAAATTTTCATGATTTTTCTGACTCCGGCCACCTCGGCTCAAAACCCCTAGCACACTGCACATACGTTACTAGCATTCCAAGGTTCTTCTTCCTTGCATGCGCCTTATACTCTGATCTATCGTTCCATCTTTCGATCGATCTCTATCTCGATCTCATTGTCGTTCTGACACTGTTTTCTCGTTTCGTATGTACATTATGAGGCGTTACGTTTCGCATGATTGAGGATTGCGAGGGTTTCTTGTTCGATTTGAATGTTTGATCTATCGGGGCTAATCTAATGATCATCAGACGCCGTTCGCCGACGCTGCTTATTTCCGATGAACGAGTCGACAAGGCGGTCGGCAGAAATCTGAACTCCCGCCTGTTTACCCTAGCGCTACTGTCGGCGTTCTTCTTCGTTTTCTTTTTGTGCGAGTGGAGCAATCACAATCGCGTAACTGAATCGGAATCGGATGGTTTAGCTTCCGTTTCTCCTGAGATCAGATCGCTGAACTCTCCGGCGGGGATTCAGGTGGGCGGTTTTGGATTGAGAAAGGTTAATCCTGGGAGTAATTTAGATTCTGCACGGAAATTTCCTTTTATGAGGGCGTTGACGACGTTGCAGAACAAGAGCGATCCGTGCGGCGGCCGGTATGTTTATGTGCATAATCTTCCCCCGAGATTCAATGAGGATATGCTGAAGGAGTGCCAGAAGCTTAGCCCCTGGACGGATATGTGTAAGTTCATGGCGAATGGCGGGCTGGGACCGCCATTGGAGAATGCCGGAGGAGTTTTATCCGAGACGGGATGGTACGCCACGGATCAGTTTGCTCTGGAAGTGATCTTCAGGAACCGGATGAAACAGTACCAGTGTTTAACCAACGATTCTTCTCTCGCGGCCGCCATTTTCGTGCCTTTCTTTGCCGGGCTTGAAGTTTCCAGGCATCTATGGGGGTACTACATACATCCTGTAACGTTTTCTTATTTAAGTTATTAATATTCAAAAGTAGGTAGGTTTGAATATATATTGGCTTATTTGATCACTGTTTGTTGTTTGACTTGGTTAAACAATCAATTTGAGTGATTGATTAATTAGCTTTTTGCAATAAAATAGTGCTCCAAAATGCTAAAATTCAAAAAGTTACTCAAAGTATTTCGATCAGCTTTTTGAGAAAGTTATTTATATATAATCAGCTAACAGTTAATTTATCAAACACTTACAGGTATAACATATCTGTTAGAGATGCGGCTGCTCTTGATCTGGTGAAGTGGTTGGAGAAGACGCCGGAGTGGAGGATAATGGGAGGAAAGGATCATTTCCTGGTCGCCGGGAGGATAACGTGGGATTTCCGGCGGCTGACTGATCAGGAATCAGACTGGGGGAACAAGCTTCTGTTCTTGCCGGCTGCTAAGAACATGACGACTCTCGTGGTGGAATCCAGCCCCTGGAATTCAAATGATTTCGGGATACCTTATCCCACATACTTCCATCCCTCCAAAGATTCCGAGGTGTTTTCCTGGCAAAACAGGATGAGGAAGACGAAGAGAAAATGGCTGTTTTCTTTCGCTGGTGCTCCTCGTCCTGGAAACCCGAGATCAATCCGGGGTCACATAATTGAACAGTGCAGGAATTCCAAGGTTTGCAGGCTGTTCAAGTGCGATTATGGGGAGAGCAGCTGCCATTCTCCCAGCAACATAATGCAGATGTTTGAGGAATCGGTGTTCTGTCTCCAACCACAGGGGGATTCCTACACGAGAAGATCCGCGTTTGATGCAATGTTAGCGGGCTGCATACCCGTGTTCTTCCACCCGGGCTCTGCTTACATACAGTACACCTGGTATCTCCCCAGAAACCATTCATCATTCTCGGTGTTCATCCCCGAGGCCGATATCCGGAGGGGGAATGTGAGTATAGAGGGGAGGCTCAGCCAGGTTTCCCCCGAGCAGGTGGAGGGGATGAGGGAGGCTGTTATAGCCATGATCCCGCGGCTCATCTACTCCGACCCCCGGGGGGACAGACTCGAGTTGTTGTCTGTTAAGGATGCATTTGATGTAGCAGTGCAGGGTGTGATTGATAAGGTGACAAAGTTGAGAATGGACATTGTTGCAGGGCACAAAGATGAGGATTTTATTGAGGAATTGAGCTGGAAATATGCAATTCTGGAAGAAGGGGAAGCATGGCATTGGAGCTCATGAATGGGATCCATTGTTCTCACAATCAAAAGATGACAATTTTGATAGCAAATGATCTAGAAAGAACAAGTTTAGGGTCTGGTTTATCAGTTTATGGACTGCAAATTCATGTGCATTATGGCATGGGCCTCGGTGAACCCTTTCTCCCTTTATCTGGATGTGAATGAGTCGAATTACTTATCCGTCGGTCTATTAGTGAACAATCTCGATCTCAATTTTATGTATGTTTGCAATCGGATAGCTGATGATGTTGGGTTGAGGCTTTAATTTCCTGTAAATCAAAGATGTCTGATAATGCTTGTTCCACTGATATATATGATCTTTGTTTCATTTTTTTCTAGTTAATAAGTTAGAGGTGTAATGTAACACGTACTGTCTTTTCATCATCAGATTCTCTTTTCATGCCTTCAGTTTTTGTTGGATAGTGAAAGATCAGATGCTAAAATTATCATGAGAAAAAGTTATTTGTACTCAAAAACTTTTACATCAATAGCTCTTCCTTGTTGACTTATCTTTTGTATACATTTACTGTATATAACCACACATAATATATATATACAGGGACAAATATTGACTGTACTTGGAGTATAACTCACTCCATCTAACAGTTAACACTCAATCTAACAAAAGACTCAACAACAGTAGACATGCTCAACCAATCATCATAATGTGAGAAACTCACTCCATCTAATGCAAGACTCAACAACACTAGACATGCATGCTCAATCATAAGTATTCATAGGAGGACAATTTTTTGCGCGGATTAGATAGCTAATCATTGTAATGTGAGAATTCACTCCATCCAGCGAAAGACGCTAATCATTATAATGTGAGACTTCACTCCATCCAACGAAAGACGCTAATTATTGTAATGTGAGAATTCACTCCATCCAATGGAAGACCCAACAACACTAAACATGCTCAATTAGGTATATTCGTAGGGAGACAAACTTTTGTGCAGATTACATGACAATAAATAATCATAATCCTCTCATTTTCAATGTTGGGGTTGCTTGACATATATATTTTTTAGTCTTTTACTTTAGTTTGTTCTTATCCTTCCTTTATATCAAATAAAAAAAAAGTTACATATGCCAATCAGTACCATAGAAATTTTGTAAAAACCTACACACACACACATATATATATAGATATATAATTAATTAATTAACTTGGTCAGGAAATTTTTTAAAAAGAATAACAAAATAAGAAAGATTTTAGATAATGGACAAAAGAAGAAAAAACTACAATGGGATTATCATTTTCTACCGAGGAAATGGTAATTCCAATGTAGTTTTCTCTATCCACCAACTACACTCTTAATACATGGATGCAAAATACAGCCTGCAGAACACTTAGTTGGTCTATAAGGATGAAATTTGAGAAGAATGACTGGGATCGGGTCTCGCACAGTTATATATATATATATATATATATATATATATATATATATAGGCAAGTTAAGGTGCGACAGTGTCTTACGGTGCGGCAACACCAATAGTTCAACAAATATGTACCATCAACGTTAGGAAAATACACCACAAAAACAGAGTAAACAGAGCCCCGCATCACCAAACACACACCATTAGGTGTGAGTAAAAACACCATACATTGTTCGAAAATACACCATTGGGGGGTGAGTTATATGGTGTATTTTTTTGAATCTGTTGTGTATTTTGTGATGTTTTATTGCATTTCACTGTGGTGTGTTTTTCTTACACTGTTGGTGCATATTGTTAACACTGTTGGTGTATTCTGGAATTCCGCCGCACCGCCGCACGGGAAGACCCTGCCGCGTTGAACTTTATTCAATATATATATATATATATATATATATATATATATATATATATATATATATATATATATATATATATATATATATAATTGACTAACATCACATACTAATTAGGTTAAGACACACTATCAATCTGGAACAAAAAATATTTAATAAAATTTGGGACAAGTAACATTATATTACCCTAAAGTTACTATAAGCAAAGTATTAGGTTTAGCCCTGAACCTGGAAGGTCAGGGAGGGAGCCAGCCATGGCGTGACTGAAATAAATGCTGAAATGTAAGGGAATGAAGGGCAGCAGACAGAACACAAGCCGCACGTGCAGTGTGGCTCATGCACATAAATGCATAATTTCTTGTTTTTCGAAGCTGAAATATAATGAAGCAAACAGTTTTGAGGATTTTTATTTTTTTATTTTTTTTTGAAAATGGATTCCAATTAACGGCTATATATGTTTTGAAAGCAGGAAGACTCTTCTCTGCATGCTGTATAATAAACGCGGCGAAAACATCCCGTGAAACCTCGGACACCATGGCAGCTCCTCTGCAGATGAAGAAAGAGGAACAACAACAACAACAAAAGCATTCCCAGAAACTCGTGATGAAGAGCTCTTGGATTTCACGAGTTTCTTCTTTCCCCCCACCTTCTGTTTTGAATTCCCAGAAACGCCTTCAAATACCCACAATCATGCTTGCTTCCTCGTCTCAAACAACCTTAGCCCCACAATTCTTCTTCTTTAGCTGCTTCCATGGATTCCCAAACCCGAACCAGATTCCTTTTAGCCCTTCTTTTTCTCTGCTTTGTTCCCCTCAGGTCTCAGGATTTACAGACCTACATTGTTCAGCTCCACCCGAACGGAATTTCAAGAACTCCGTTCGGGTCCCGGGCTCACTGGCACCTTTCGGTTCTTGACGGAGCCGTTTCTTCGTCGGAAGATTCCCCCGCCGCCGCTTCTCGTCTCTTGTACTCTTACGGTTCCGCCATGGAAGGCTTCTCTGCTCGGCTTTCTGAAGCTGAGATTGAGGCGTTGAGGAATTCCGTTGATGTAATATCGATAAAACCGGATAGAAGGATTGAGGTTCAGACTACTTATTCTTACAAGTTTCTGGGATTGAGTGTTACGGAGGGGGCTTGGGTTAAGTCTAGGTTTGGGTGTGGGACGATAATTGGGTTATTGGATACCGGCGTTTGGCCGGAGAGTCCGAGCTTTGACGATGCCGGAATGCCGCCGGCGCCGGGGAAATGGAAGGGAGTGTGCCAGGAAGGGCAGGGGTTTAACTCGTCGAGTTGTAACAGGAAACTGATCGGCGCCAGGTTCTTCAGCAAGGGCCACGTGGCGGCTTCCCCGGATTATTCGCCGCATTTAGTGGAGGAGTACATTTCGCCGCGGGACTCCCACGGCCACGGCACGCACACGGCGTCCACCGCCGCCGGCTCGCCGGTATCCACGGCGAGCGTGCTGGGAAACGCGGCGGGAGAAGCGCGTGGAATGGCCCCCAGCGCCCACGTCGCCATTTACAAAGTGTGCTGGTACAACGGCTGTTACAGCTCCGACATTCTCGCCGCGATGGACGCCGCGATCGTCGACGGAGTCGACGTCCTCTCCCTCTCCCTCGGCGGCTTCCCCGTCCCCATCTTCGAAGACACCATCGCCATCGGCAGCTTCCGCGCGACGGAGCACGGCATCGCCGTCGTGGCCGCCGCCGGCAACAACGGCCCCCTTGCAAGCTCAGTTTCCAACGAATCTCCATGGATTAACACCGTCGGCGCCAGCACCCTCAACAGGCGATTCCCAGGAATCGTTCATCTCGGGAATGGCAAATTCCTCTACGGGGAATCACTGTTTCCAGGAAAGGCAATTCCAGGATCACAGAAAAAATTCGATCTTGTTTATGTAACGGGTAATACTACACATACTCATACTTATACTATTATTATTTTGATGTGGAGGTTTGACTCTGATATCAAATTGAAACATATGTTTCATCTAGAAGTCTAAATTAATAGTTGGATTGAACATTTATGCTAAAAGCCTAGAGTTTTACTTTCTTGGAGTACACTTATGAGGTTTCTTATGTAACAGGGAATAATAGTGGGAGTGAGTTCTGTCTGAGAGGTTCTCTCCCGAAAACCTTAGTCCGAGGAAAAATGGTGGTTTGTGACAGAGGGATCAATGGGAGAGCAGAGAAAGGTGAAATTGTTAAAGAAGCTGGTGGGGTTGCAATGATCTTAGCCAATACAGCTTTGAACCTGGAAGAGGATTCAGTAGATGTGCATTTGTTGCCAGCAACATTGATCGGTTTCGACGAATCCATAACCCTTAAAAGCTACATAAATTCCACCAGAAAGCCGAGAGCTAGGATCATATTTGCAGGAACAAGAGTTGGGAAATCCAGGGCACCAGCAGTGGCACAGTTTTCATCCAGGGGGCCAAGTTTCACTGATCCTGCAGTTCTCAAGCCTGATGTGATTGCCCCAGGGGTGAATATCATTGCAGCCTGGCCTCAAAACTTAGGCCCTAGTGGCCTTCCGGAGGATCCCAGAAGGGTAAACTTCACAGTCATGTCAGGTCAGCTACTATAAATCATTGTTCTTTTTTTTTTTTTTTCAGAAAGAAACTCACAGTCACTATTTGAGGGGTGTAGACTGTGTATATCCTGTTTTATAACCCTAATCAACAAAGGACCATAAGGAAGGTAAATCAGCATAGTTTGCTTAATACCAATAGGTTGTTCACATTGGAGTTGAACTTGTAACCTTGTGGTTACCCAGTTAACAGCCCTTACAAATCTCGTGTGTCCTATTTATCATTATTTTATTTTTTTGGTTGGTGAGTGAAACTTGCAACCACGGCTTAAAGTATGCATTAAATAAATCCTGACTTGACCCTGGTTAGTAAATGTTCACAAAGAGGTAATTAGATAAATCAGTCTAAATTGCTTATAATTGACTAGCTCAAATTAAGAAAGTCGGTATATCACTCCGATTAAGGGTCGAATTTATAACCTTGTGATTATCCCGTCAACAGCTTAGTCTGACCAACTTGGTTGAGATTGTCCTTTCTGTTCATAGGGCTAAGGCATTTTCACCTCCACAGGTACTTCCATGGCATGCCCTCATGTAAGCGGATTGGCGGCGCTCTTGCGCGCCGCGCATCCATATTGGTCTCCCGCCGCTATAAAATCAGCACTCGTGACAACCGCCGACACAACAGACCACCAAGGAAAGCCAATCATGGATGGAGACAAGGCGGCCGATGTTTTCGCCATGGGAGCAGGACATGTAAACCCTGAAAAGGCCATAGACCCTGGACTCATATATGACATCCACACAGATGACTACATCACCCATCTCTGCTCTCTGGGCTACACAACCTCAGAGATCCTCAGCATCACACACAAGAACATCAGCTGTCGCGAAACCCTTCGCGAAAACCGAGGATTCAGCCTGAATTACCCCTCCATTTCCATAACTTTCAGGCCTGGAATGACCAGAAAGATAGTCACCAGGAAGGTGACCAATGTAGGGGCTCCTGGCTCCACTTACACAGCTAAAGTTGTGGCACCTGAGGGGGTTAAAGTCAGGGTTAAACCGCAACGCCTGAAGTTCAAACGGGCGAACCAGAGGCTGGAATATGCAGTGTGGTTCACATCAAGGCAGAAGTTTGGGAGGCAAATGAAAAGGAGCTTTGCAGAAGGGCAGTTGACATGGGTGAATACCAGAAATAATGGAGTTCAGAGAGTGAGAAGCCCTATTTCAGTGACATGGGTGTCAAAGAAAAGAAATGGAAGTTGAATGGTTAGGTCAGATCAGACAACCTTAATTGTTAGTTGATCCATATTTGGTTAGTTTCATGAATCATCTGATATATATTGATTGCAGTTGACATTGTCAGCTCAGATCAGTGGCAGAATTTCCACAAGTATGAATTTTAGTTTTAATTTATATTAGCATATATGCTTTTGATGATGAAATGGATATCATTTTATGTCAATAAAAAAGCAGTTTATTTGAATGATGGGAGTGTGAGGCATCCATGCATATCAATACAGCTTTTCACAGGATATATATATGAAGTCTCTGTCTATCTGGTAATCTTCATCTTGTTATTGTTCTCAATCAAGAAGAACATGTCCCCTTTTTAGGTTATTTATACAACTCAAACTACCAATTAAGAACTCAGATTGAATATAGAAAGTAAATCCCTCAAATCAATGCATCAATTACAAGTTGATCTTTTAAAATACAAGGAAAGCAATCTCCAAAATAATAACGAAAATGATCTCCTAAAATGGGTTCAGGCCCCATTGTTCTTTTCCCATAAATGAGATAATATATCCCCAAGTTTCATATTGAGCCTAGCTTAATCATGCTTGCATGTGATTAGTTCAATGGTTCAGTAGGTAGTTTTTGTGAGAAAAGACCAAATTCGAACCTCAACGACAGCAGTGTAGGGATTATGTCTAAAGTGGGCAGATGTTAAATACTTTGTCAGATCAGGTATATGGACACATCAGTGTCTATAGTAACAATTAAAGATAACATGTATCCCAAATTTCAAAATTATATTGGGCTTGAGCCAACCGTTTGGATCAAGTCCAACTATCCGAGCCAAGGCCTTGAATATCAGACCCCTGTATCCAACGTGTCACTACCTAAGGTAGCAATTAAAATGGGATTAGAGAGAGAGAGAGAGATTAACAACTAGGGTATATATAATTTTCTTTTGATGGTAGGTGTTAGCATGTTTCTTGTAGATTTCTGCAGGCTTGTCAATCATACATTGATTTAATATAATTGCAGTATAATGCAAGGTTGGCCATGTCGCTATGTACGTAGCCCATGTGCATTATGCATGCATGCATTCCCCCTTAGCTTATTCTCAATCAATCATTCACTTCCATCTCCGTGTATTCTCTACCTTTCTGCATTTTGTTTATTTCTTTTCCAGATCCAAGTACCAACATGCACATATACATTATTAATATGTCATCTTTTACTCTTATTTACCAATATATGCATTGGTGTATCTATATACGTGTTTGTCTATGTATTAACTACAACAACAAAAAGTATCTAGTATATCGAGATTTACTAGGTATATATCTAGCGTTCATATGATGTGATAATATCATTCTATTTTTCCGATCAATTGACCAATTAAAAGTGTTTAATCAGTTATTCAAGGGAAGAAGGCCAAGCTAAAAATCTTACTAAATATGATATAGAAAGAAAATAGTAAAGTTGACTTAACAAAATAGATTTACATTTTTTTCCTATTTGATTTATTTCAAGTAAAAATCGCCATGTCATTTATTTACCTTCATGGTTTCATCACAATTTAACTGTTTGTCTTAGGTCTAGGTTAATTAATTTGAAGCTAAATTGATCATATTTAGGATTATTTCTAAGATTAACTCTAAAGGTCTATTTAGAAATTCGAAAAATAAATTTCAGAAGTCATTTTTTGGATTTTCTTATGTTTGGATATTCAACGAAAATAGAGTCGAAAAAAAAAAAATTAAATTTCACAAAAAATGTCTTTCTAAATTTTTAGTCGGAACACATTTCCTGAATTCTTTGTTTTTCCATAATATTATTACCACTACCACCATAACTACTATACCATAACCACCACCACCACCAAAAACACCATCATCACCACCACCACAACCACTTGTTGTTGTTATAACGAATAATATGTTACGTTCATTTTCAGGAAAATTAACCAAACATAAAAATGCAATTTCTTAACTTTCTGCCAAACAGAAAAAGATAGTTCTTACCTTCCGCCAAATATTAGATTTTTTTTCGGCCTCATTTTTCATAAAATATTTTTCAGTAATTTTGTAAAATAATAAATACACAATTTGTTCAAGACAAAAATTGAAGAGATCAAGGGACAACCTATCCGAGTCAATAAGAGAGTTTAATTGTTAATCATAATATTCTAAATTCGACTTTCTGCGGGAGCCTTTACTAAGAATAACATAGACTAATTTTTACTTATTTGTAATTCTTTATCAATTAAGGTCTATCACGAAATGGACTTTATTTTCTGTAAATGAGAGAGAGAGGGAAGGGGTGGGGGGTGGGGGGGAGGGGAGGGGGGTTGTTTGTCACAAATGGTCTCTATTTGAGGTTGCTATTACTTAGTAGTTAGTAGTAGCTAGGTGCACATGGCATAGTGACACAGCACTAATAATTTAGCTTTGTTTTAATCTGCCCTACTTTTGCCCACATGGTTGCATGTGAAAATTGGCAGTTTATTCTGTTAAATAGTAATGTTTCATTAAATTATTAAGGATAATTACCCAGATTGATGCGTTGATTATTCTACCATGTTTGCCCCATTCTCTCCACCATTTGTAGTGTTTGCCTTCTCTGCTCCATCAACACCCCATTACATGCACTATAACAATAAAAATTTTGTCTAACCTACTTCGTGTATTGAGCTTGACTGATTATTAATTGAAAAGTTCCATAACTTATAACAATCAATCAATCAGAAAATATTATTATTATTATTTAAAAAAACATAGAAAATATTATTATTATTATTTAAAAAAACTATAATTTACCAGTAAATTTCTTTTTAGTTGTTGCTACAAGACATCTACCAATCAAAATAATCTCATCGGAAGCAAATTAAAATAAGACAGCCAACTATCTGTCAATGATTTTATGGTCTAGTGGCTCTCTCATTTGGGAGGTTATTAATTCGATCTCCAGTAAAAGCGGTATTGACTATTTATGCTCCTACCAGGTATTTGTATTCAACGAGATAAAATTGACCGAGCATTTGCTCGGTCAGGTCCAACTCGAAGCAGCCATAGTTATTGTATGTGCATGAGTTCAAACTCTTGATCTTCTTCGAGTGGGAATCTTTAATTTGACCAACGCAGCATGTTGACTATTAAGGAGGGAGGAAGGAAGGGTATGAGACAGTGTTTATGAGCATAAAGAAAAGCAAAGAAGAACACATTCCACCCATGTTTCATGTCGGACTCACCCACGTTAAACTCCAAAAGGTTGCAGATCAACAGCTAGCTAACTGCAACAACGTTGCTGAACCCAAGATCTCACGACCCTTCTAATCATTGATTAATTTTCTAATCCCCATGTGATTTTCAGTACGGAAGAGCAGTGCATTATTGTTAAATCTCATCACTACCATCCCCACTTTTCCTTCCTTCAACTTTTCATATAATACACTGCTCTCTCCATTCTCACTCTCCTCACTGGCCCCATCATCGGCCTTTCTTCGCTGTTGTGGCCATCCTTAATCATGAAACAGTAAGATATCATCAGATTAAGTAAGCAGGAAAAACAAAAAAGAAGATGAAGTTGGATGTTACAGTGGTGTTCATAGTCTTCTCCTTGTACTTCTGCCACCTTGGCTGGGACAACTATGTTGTTGTTTCGGCTAAAGTTGAGGAGGGCAATGATGAAAGGGCAGTTTTGCTGTTGATAAAAGCCGGTCTGGTTGATCCATTGGGCCAGCTTGGAGATTGGGGATTGCCCGGGAACGCCTCTGATCGTCACTGCAGGTGGAGAGGAGTGAAGTGCAGCTTTAATGGAGCTGTGGAGGAGCTTGATCTTTCCCACATGAATCTCAGTGGCAGAGTGACGGATCATATTGATAAACTGAAAAGCTTAACTTCTCTGAACCTATCCTGCAATGGGTTTTCGTCTTCGTTGCCGAAATCTCTGTTTAATCTCAGTGCCCTGCAGAGAATTGATGTGAGCCAGAACCTCTTTGTTGATGGCTTTCCTGCTGGGCTTGGAAGGGTTGCTGGATTGGTATCGTTGAACGCTTCGAGTAACAACTTCTCGGGTTATCTGCCTGAGGAGCTTAGCAATGCATCCTTGCTGGAGAGCTTGGATCTCAGGGGGAACTTTTTTGAGGGAGCAATTCCAAAGTCATACAAGAACTTGAAGAAGTTGAAGTTCTTGGGGCTTTCTGGGAACAATCTCACTGGCCAGATTCCAGGAGAGCTGGGAGAGATTTTGTCACTGGAGACTATAGTTCTTGGGTACAATGAGTTTGAAGGTGGAATTCCAGCAGAGTTTGGGAATCTGACCAATCTGAGGTATCTTGACCTGGCTGTTGGGAATCTTGGAGGGTCAATTCCAGCTGAAATAGGGAATCTGAAGCTGCTCGATACTGTTTTCTTGTACCAGAACAGTTTTGAAGGAGAGATTCCAGCAGAGGTTGGGAACATGACTGCATTACAGCAGTTGGATCTTTCTGATAATATGTTATCAGGAGAAATTCCGCCACAAATCGCCAATCTCAAGAACTTGGAGCTCTTGAACTTGATGGGAAACCGGTTATCAGGTTCAGTACCTGATGGAATTGCAAACTTGACTCAACTGCAAGTTCTTGAGCTCTGGAACAACAGCTTTTCGGGTTCTTTGCCAATTGATCTCGGCCTGAACTCCCCACTAGAATGGCTCGACGTTTCATCCAATTCGTTCTCTGGTCCAATCCCAGCAGGGCTTTGCAGCAAAGGTAACCTCATTAAGCTCATCCTATTCAACAATGCATTCTCTGGTCCAATTCCACCTGGTTTATCCAGATGTGATTCCCTGGTTCGCGTTAGAATGCAGAATAATCTTCTTTCGGGGGCCATCCCTGCTGGTTTTGGCAAACTAGGTGATCTTCAGAGGCTTGAACTTGCCAACAATAGTCTCACAGGCCAAATCCCAAGTGACATTGCCTCTTCTGACTCTCTTTCTTTCATTGATCTCTCCCAAAACCATCTCCAATCCTCTCTTCCTTCCTCCATTCTCACCATTCCATCTCTGCAGAACTTCCTTGCCTCGGATAACAACTTGGTAGGAGAAATCCCAGAACAGTTCCAGGATTGCCCCACCCTCTCTGTGCTAGATCTGTCCTCAAATTATCTCACTGGAAACATTCCAGCCAGCATTGCTTCATGTGAGAAACTGGTGACCTTGAATCTCAGGAACAACCAAATAAGTGGCCCAATCCCAGAACCAATTGCCAGCATGCCCACATTAGCAGTTCTTGATCTGTCAAACAACACCCTAACAGGTGGAATACCTTACAACTTCGGGAATTCCCCAGCCCTGGAAATGCTCAATGTCTCTTACAACAACCTAGATGGCCCTGTCCCTGCAAACGGGATGCTCAGGACTATCAACCCCGATGATCTCCAAGGCAATCCCGGCCTCTGTGGAGGAGTGCTTCCTCCATGCTCCCAGAATGCAGCATATGTATCAAGGCAGAGGAGTCTCCACACGAAGCACATTGTAGCAGGATGGCTAATTGGAATGACAGCACTTCTAGCCATTGTTTCAGCAGCTTTCGGGCTCAGATTCCTGCACAAAAGATGGTACCAGAATGGGAGCTGCTTCGAGGAAAGATTCAAAACAGGTAAAGAGGAATGGCCCTGGAGATTGATGGCATTCCAGAGACTAGGATTCACAAGCAACGACATCCTGGCCTGCATCAAAGACTCAAACGTGATAGGAATGGGAGCAACCGGAGTAGTTTACAAGACTGAAATGCAGAGGCTAAACACCACTGTTGCAGTCAAGAAACTATGGAAATCTGCAGCAAAAGACATTGAAATGGGATCTGCAGGAAGTGAAGATCTGGTGGGCGAGGTTAACGTCCTAGGAAGATTAAGACACAGAAACGTTGTCAGACTACTAGGATTCCTGTACAATGATCATGAAGCAATGATAATATATGAGTTCATGCAAAATGGGAGCCTCTGGGAAGCTTTGCATGGCAAACAAGCAGGCAGACTGCTTGTAGATTGGGTTTCAAGGTACAACATTGCGCTCGGGGTAGCACAAGCCCTGGCATATCTCCACCATGATTGCCATCCACCCATCATCCACCGCGACGTCAAATCAAACAACATCTTACTTGATTCAAATCTTGAAGCAAGAATTGCAGATTTCGGGCTGGCCAAAACCATGCTTACCAAGAATGAGACAGTCTCCATGGTCGCTGGATCTTACGGATACATTGCCCCAGGTGAGTTTTATATATAGGATCAAGTGTTTATCACTACAGTTATAACTTTCTTTATACATCTCCTATGCAACTAGTGCTGGACCACCTTGGTCCTTCACAACCTCTGTCCAATAATTCCCCAGCACCTGCTAGCCTTAACAATTCAAACCTGCTTTAGCGCTTACCACTATACCAAAAAACTATAGCTCGTAGCGAATAAATTTCCTTATATCCACCACATTTTCAAGCCTAAGTCCAATAATCCCCTAACCATCTGGTGTTGGACTTGGCCTTTCCCAAACAACACTCTTGGTTCGATCAGAACTAATATCAAACACCTTCTGTGCAGAGTACGGGTACACACTGAAAGTTGATGAAAAGAGCGATATTTACAGCTACGGGGTTGTCCTCATGGAGCTTATAACCGGAAAACGGCCATTGGAGCCGGAATTCGGAGAATCAGTTGACATAGTAGAATGGATTCGCATGAAAATCAGGGACAACAGATCATTAGAGGAGGCGCTAGACCCCAGCGTAGGTAACACCAAACATGTCCAAGAAGAAATGATGCTAGTTCTGAGAATTGCCCTAGTCTGTACAGCCAAGCTTCCCAAGGAAAGACCTTCCATGAGGGATGTTCTAACCATGCTCGGAGAAGCCAAACCTCGGCGGAAGAGCAGCAGCAGCAGCGGCGGAGCTGGCGGCGCTGCAAACAAAGACATGCCGCCGGTGTTTAGCACGTCGCCTGTAAATGGGCTCCTTATGTAAGAAGAGGAATGGAAACCGTTAATTCCTTGTGTTAATTTTATGTATTTTCTAAGGTTTTAATTTGTACGTAATTCTTTATTGGTTTTGTAAACTATAGAATCTGTATGCATGCATGTCTAGCATGGCATTGATGTAACCATTCCTCCTGCAATTAACATTGTATGTAGATTGTGACTTATAGACTTATAGTCACGCAAAAGAATGAAGAAAAAATAATAATAATCTCCCCATGGTAGCTGAAACCTAAAGTATTAACGTTTAATGATGAGAATATGAGTTAATTTACAACCATATGAGCTAGCTTTTGTTGCTGTAAATCACGGACTAATCACTAAAGGCAACGACCATTAATTTTAGGTGACACAAAAGCAACTCATGTGGGAGTTGATTTGGTATACACAATGTTTCAAGTTCAACTGTCATTTTTTTATCCATACAAAATTTTTATTGGTCTTATTGGGTTGAACCGATTAGATATAGGCAACTTAATTGTGTATTAGGATAACCTTTTTATTTGAGCCAGTCAACTAAGGCAATGTAACTGTTTGTTGTTCTTTTTTGTCTGAGCTAGTTTTTAGCTATATGCAACATAATGGTTTATTGACCTTCTTTGACTTAAGTTGGTTAGTTATAAGAAACGTAACTATTTATTGATATTTTTAGTTTGAGTTGGTCATCTATAGATAATCTAAACTGATTCTCCTACATGCAATGCATAAAGCTAATTAGAATCATAATATAAGTTTCAGCTAGCAGTTGTTGACTTCCGGCTTTCCTTTAAATCAAAAGGAAAGTTTGGTAACCCTATGTGTGGTTGAGTGAAAAGGACTCGTCAATCTTTAATCAGCAAGGGTATTAGTCACTGTATCCGACGGTAGAAATCCTGATTACACCCAAAAAAAATGGTTTTTGAGTAATGATATTATGCATATATACTTCGAAATAATGAAATACAAATATAAATAAGAAAGTATTAGGAGAGTCATCCATGAATATGGTAGCATGGTACACGTGAACATTGGAAAACGTGTTAGCAAGGTAGGGACGTTGGCCGGCGCGTGTGATTGATCCATATTATTCTTAATTATTTCGTCTCATCGCCAACTCGCCTTCTCGCTTCAATTCATTCTCCACCCACCATTGAAATTTTATATATCTCACCGCCCCCAAAATATCTGCAACTAACGTTGATGATCACGATTGAAACATCCTATAAGATGGGTGTATCTCTACCCTTTATTTGATTCACTAGCTTCCCCATTTCCTCGGAATTGAAACATGATGTTAAGGAGCTCTTCTACGCCGATTCTTGGATCCCTGCTCTCTTCCCATGGAGATAGCGGCGGCGGCCAACTTCACCACCACCACCACCACCAATTACCAGAAAGCATAACCCCAAACCAGACACCATCGTCTGCTCATCATCACAAGAAATCGATCTCTGTAAACCATGCCCATGTCGGGTTCACCAAACTTTCTTTCAATTCTTCTCCCACAGTTAGCCTGCCGTTTTCCGGTAACGGGTTTCGGAGAGCTCAGTCGGAGGGGAATCTGGAAGGTTTAACGGCCGATGCTTTGTGCAACAACGCGGATGAATTCAGCCTAGCAGTTCCGCTGCGAAAATTTGCGCGCAAGCCACGCGCGTCGTTCTTGGAAGCCATTCCGTCTTTCTCGGCGACGGGTCCGAGGAGTCACGGGGAAGACGAGGAGAGTGATGAGGAATGGGAGGCGTTTGGTAGCGCTAACCCCGGCATGAGTGAGGAACTGAGATGGTGTCTCAGCAAATTCCCAGCTTTGGAAGTCGCCGGCGTTGGATTTGGTAGCGGCGGCGGGTATCCTACCGGAGGAAGCGACGGCGGAAGGGGTGGGTTTGACGGCGGTGACAGCTTTGGGATTAGTACAGAAGAGCATTATAAGAAAATGGTGGAGGAGAATCCAGGCAATCCTCTGCTATTAAGGAATTACGCTCAGTTCTTATACCAGGTGGGTACTGGGTAGTGTATATAACTATATAAATTACATTTTAATTCCTTCAGTTATATTGCCATGTAAATGTTCCTACAATACAAAGATGAAACCTTTGATGTAATGATTGTTGATCCGTGACGAGCAGACAAAGAAGGATGCTAAAAAAGCAGAGGAATATTACTCGAGGGCGATTCTAGCGGACCCGGCTGACGGGGAAGTTCTATCACAGTACGCAAAGCTTATCTGGGAGGTCCATGGCGATGCAGAAAACGCCACCAGCTATTTTGAACGGGCGGTTCAGGCCGCTGCAGGAGACAGGTTTGTATTGTATTGTATTGTATGCTCAAATAAATACATCCAATCCATTAGTTGGCATCTGCCATTACTGGCGACTAATAGTAAGTTCCTTCCTTTATTGTTTTTTTACTTTTGTAGTCATGTTGAAGCTGCATACGCTAGTTTTCTGTGGGAGGTGGAAGACAACGAGGAAGAAGATGATGGAGTTGATATGCCACCCACAATCACCCATCAACAACGACCAATGGCTTCTGCATTTGCTTGCTAGAAGCCAAGGGAGGGAGGGAGGGACTTCGTCTCATACTTTATTAGTTATGAAATCTCCTTTTTTCCAGCTACCTAACTCCTAGCTGCTGCATTTTTACTATTGTATAAGATTAGCAGCAAAACTCATTCCCGTATACGTTTAAAAGATGTTCATATAAACACTAGTCTTCGGTAGTGCCATAATTTCTTTGAAACAAATATAGTGCGTACGAGATCTTCTACTCCGTATATCAGAGGGAGAAACATGAGAAAAGCAACCGCTTAAAATAAGTCCTGTGCACCTAAACAACAAATATCTCAAGGAAATAAACATAAACAAGCAACGTTTGTTTGTTTTTTTTTTTTTTTTGGCAAAGTAATGTTAAACAACAAATTGGAAGAAGAGCTATCAGACAGGGCCATCAACTCTGCGTAAGATATTTATTATAAAATATCTGGAGGCACATTATTGGTTTCCTATAAGATTTTTATGCACCGTTCGCAGAAGCAGAATAAATAAAGATGAACTGTATAACACATGAAGAAAATCCAATTCAGAATAACCTAAGGATTTTCTTATAATTCACAGAATGGGGAAGCATGGGTCAGTGATACGAGTAGGGTTCTGAGCAAACACAGAATCATTGTATGTCTTGCAATATGTTTCATCCTAAGTAGTTACTTGTCCAACCTACTGCAAGAAAATGTTAAGCAACAACTAAAAATAAAATAGAGCAATAACTAGAATACAACTTCACAAGCCACCACATTCATCTAAACAGATTACTAGTGTGCCTCATAGTTTCATGTGTCCTGAAATCTTGTCAACTCCACTAGATCCACGCCAAAAAACTCATGGGCTCAGTTTCTTCTAGGCCAACAAAATTGACTCAATCAGCTAAATTTGAGTCTATTCAATAGTAACTACCACCATAATAGGCCGTAGGAGGAACAGCTGCTGGAGCTGGCTGTGCAGGAGTCAAAGTTGCAGCAACAGCTGGCTGTGCATAATTCTGCAGTGAGGGAATGGCATCACAAGTTAAATCGTTACAACAGAAAACATTAAAATTTGCAATTTTCTGAGCAATTATAACAAAGGTGTACAGATTGGTTTACCTGTGCTGGATATGTTGAAGGATAAGCACCATAAGGTGCAGTTGGAGGTACAGAGGTAGGTGCTTGTGGATGTGTATAACCGCTTCCATAATAAGCACCATATGCAGCCTAAAATAATTCCAGCAAAAACAAAATGAAGTCACAAGCTCTCCACCAAAATGTTGAACCAATATTAAGCTAACTATACTTTATATTTTTAATTATTAAATAAAAAAGCTATACTAATTATCCTTCCAGCTTTGCTTTTGTATTTATTGGCAAAGCATCCCAACTAAAATCCCCTACCCAAAAAAAAAAAAAAAAGAGCAAAGAGAATTGAGATTTCTAACACCCATTATGCTGCTCAATCTATATACTTGGCAGAAGAAACTTTACCTGTTGGGTATAGGCAGGATTCCACTGCTGGGCTTGAGTTTGAGTTGTTTGTGGCCATGTTTGAGGCTGTGAGCTATAACCCCCAGGCCACTGGTTCTGCCCACCAGGATATGAGCCCATTACGGATGCAGCAGCCGCAGGAGCAACACCTTTCGACATCTTTGTCTTGTCTGAAACTAGATAATCTTCAGCATGTCGCTTCTTAGACTCTGAAGAGGTTCTGTTTCGTAAGAAGAGCTTGGCATGCCTATCATCAGCTTTCTTAATTGATTGCGCATCCCCAAAAAGATCCAAAAACTGCAAAAACCCAACACACACACACACACACACACACACACAAACAAAAACAAACAAACAAAAACAAATTGTAAGAAATCTATAGCAAACCGTAACCAGATGAGTCTAAGTAGTAATGAGACCCATCACATCTATGAAATATAATGCAAAATTCATATGCAGGAATTGAACTCAAATCATAAAGCACATAAAGTAAAACATAAGTACATAACAGATAATTAATTACCTCCAAAAAGATGCTAGATAACTCCTCCCTTTCATCAATGCTTGCAACAGTAGAAGTATCAATTGTAGGAACTATAAACTTGTCAACTAATGAATCTAAATAATCAATTCTCTTTGGCTGTGGTTGAATTGATTCTAAATGGATGATTGCCTGCAACCCAAGCATCAATTGGTTAACAAAGCTAAATTAACGCTAAAAAAAATGGGGGAACTTCAATTATCATTTTAGCATGTTCTGGGTCATCTGTGTGTGCATAAAGCAACAGGTAAGGGGAGAGAGGAATACCTCAAGTAGTGGTTTAGACAATTGTGCATTTTCAACCACTTGATCAAGGATTTCTCTAGCTTTCTCTACTTTGCCAGAAACCTTCACAAATTTATTGTACAATGAGCAAATAAAAACAAAAAATCAGAAAGATTAAAGACAAGCTAATAATGCAACAATTATGATGGATCCAGGAGGAGGCTCAAACATAGTATGACTACCAAGTTCTCTTGCAAAAGGGAGGGCATAAATGAAAGAAAGCAAGAGGGCATATATCTGGCTACCAACAAATTTGCCAGGCATGGAAACAATTTTATAAACTGATAAAGAAAGCCATGTCTGAAATCAATGTGGATGCTCGATAAACTTGTTTGGCACACAACTATATATTCAAGCTTCTCACATACTATTCAAGAAAGAGAGATGAACATCATGATCACAAGAGAGATGCACTTAACATGTACCATTTAATTCAAAATCTTTCTATTTAAGATTCTTTGCAGAATTAATATAACTAGAAATTGCAAAAATTATATACAATCATGAACTAATTAAGCCAGCAATTATTAGGCCCAAGACTATTGTAGCAACAAAATTCCATGAATATGTTAAAAACTGTTGACTAGAAACATCAAGCAGGCTGAAATTGGGGAGGGGGTGTCCAAGTGTCTTAAAATTGCAGAAATAAACAAAATGGAAAAGGTAGCAAAAAAGTATAAGATATAACACATTCAAGAATAAAAGGTTGAGAAGAGATGTACCAAGTATAGAAACCGAGAGTACTGGGCATACAACAGAGGTAATGTTTGTGAATGTTCTTTTCCTTTTTCGATTGCAATAGCTTGTTCATATAAAGAACAGGCATCGTCAAGATTTCCCTGCAGTACAGATGAATTTATATATTTTTTATATATATATAACAGAATAAACAGCGGTATGGACACAGGATATAAAAGCCCAAGCATGCTGATAAAATTTTCTTACTAGTCGATGTTCCATGTTGGCATGTTTAATGGTCGCTTCCAAAAGCCCAGGTGAAATTTCAGTGTGCACCAGGTGATAAGCAGCTCGAGCTCCAGGAATATCACCATGCTGCTCCCGAAATCGAGCAGCAAAAAGGTGGATCTCGGGTTGTCTCTGGATAAATTAAAAGATGATTAAAACACAAAGGAAGTACTAGGGGAGTAAAACTAAATCAATAAGTAAAAGCAATCACAAGTACACAGCACTATGATAATTGAACCCTACTAAACAAAGAGCACAATAAATTGTTGATATATAACATCAGTGTACACCTTCACAAAAACTTGAGTAGCGCGAGCAAGGGCATTATCAGCAAGATCCATACTTTGACTAGCTTCCATGCACAAAACATATCTTATCCAATATTCAGGATAGTTGGCACAAGCAATCAGGCATCGCTCGTACAGCTTGACAACCTGGTTTGCACAAAAAATGCATGGATCAGAATTTAAAATTCCTGTCAAATATACAAAATAAATTAATTAATAAATTTAAAACAAATAGAAATAAGGAGAAATGCATAACGAGTACTCCGTTGGGCGAAACAGGGAGGCCCCTCTAATATGAAACGAGGGACCATCCTTGCCTGACATGGTTAGGAAGATAAGACACCTGCATGCATAACATTTTGACTTTAAAGCAAGTATTACACCATCAACACATCATGAACCCAGAAGGTCGATTCACAATGAGGGTTTGAAGTACTTAGCCTTACAGAAAGCAAATTGGATGGTCCATGCGTTAGTCCAAGTTCAATATCCCGTTTTAAAGATGCTTCATCCGATGGTTTAGCCAATAAAGCATATGATGCGGCATACTACTTAACTGTAATTCAATACATAACGAGGACAACTAAAGCTATAAATCAAGAGAAACTGAAATGCATCGAAAATAACAAAATTCACCAAATACCTTATTAAAGTCATCGCCTCCTTCTATGAAGTCTAGAAAATTATGCCAATTTTCAAGCTCTGCTGAGTTAAGGGGGCGCACATGAAAGTAGGGCCTCCTGATAGCTGTTTCAAAACCAATGATCTTAGAATCGAACTCTTTAGCTTTCTTATAGATCTCTTCTCTAACGGCGATATACTTCTCCAACTCCTCGGCATCTTTTAAGCTTGCACTTACAGGTTTAGAAGACTCGCTATTAGGATGAACCTCTCCTTCAACTTGCTCACCACTGGCTTCAGAATCAGCTGCTGCTGCAGCAGCAGCTTCTTCAGCAGTACGCAATTCTGATAGTGGCCTACTTGCTACTAGCTCCTTAAAACTGAGGAACGATTACCACCATCAAAAGAGAAATCACTTTTATGGCAATGGCAGCCAAAAAAATAAGCACAGTATTGTTAAGTGAATTAATTGTACATTGCATAAAATATTCCACATATAGTTAGCATTTCCTTCATATCTACCAAAAGTCCAAAGTGATCATTTAATCCACTGAATGAGCCAGAACCCCATGATTAATGTCTTATTTCATGTTCATTAGGGGTAATGGTAAAAGACAGATGATACAAATAAAAATAAGGTCATAAGGAAGTGTATAACTTCACCTTCAGTATCATGAGAACCAAGAAACTAGTGCAAACAGGAAGATACAAAGCCATATTTCAGTTGACTACTTTTTTAAAAATAAGAAAAAGGAAATTACCCTTCAAAGTAGCGATCCAATTGTTGATTCGGAATCTCTAGAATGCGTGTGTAGATTGCAGCAACATGAGACCATGCCTGTTGTGTGTACTCGTATTCAAGGTATTTATCCCACAGAGGAAATGATAGGTAGTCTGATCCAACATAAGCTAATGCTCTTTCGAATAACCTAAAGTAACAGAAGAACAGCAATGGTAAAATTACAAGTTATCAACATTCAACAGGTAATAGAAACGACAAATGCACTACAAGAGCAAGGACATTGAAGAGGAAGCATTGATTCACTCAAGAACGGGATACTTCCAAACTTGCACAAATACTCTGCATTTACCTTCCTCAACACTATCATACCAGGTCTGTGAAAGAGAGCACTCATACATCATCTTAGCCTTACTGGATGGA